TTATAACAATATTCTTCTGGAAAGGCAAATTTTCTTGCGCAGGTGTTTGGGAGAAAATATTTGGGAGAAAATAAAACAGACAGAACCTGCTTTATCCCGAGTGTTTCATGGAAGCTTGGAGTTATTTAATAAAGGGAATTTCTGTTTAAGCTAGATTCTCACCTTTAGGAAGTGAGTTAGAGAAGCACATGGCTTGTTAGCTGGATTCACTTGAGCATGGTGAGTTACAAGGCTCACCTATGCTACTGTACTCCTTAGAATACCTTCTTAGAAGTCCCTCAGCATGAGGTGAGAGGTTCCAAGGCAGTTAATACTTTAGTGGCCCAGAGCCTGGACTTTACATGTCCCTGAAGTCTCTCTGTCTCATGCGACCAAAATTCAGACGTCCTCCAGCATATGATTATGCACTTACATGATAGGAAGGCAAAGCAGATTGGAAATACTGCGTGTACTATAATTTATCTTGTTTTTGCATGGCTGGACACGCAACTGACAAAGCAATCTGAACTTTGACACTTCATTTGTTGCACATATGCTCTTCTATCACACAAGAACTATTTTGAATATTTTTAAAGTATCAGGAATAACTTGCTGAATGTGCAATACAGTGAAAAAAATAGAAACAATACCGTAGTTTTCACATTAATATATCTGGATATATTGTTCTGCTACTTCATCTGAGTTATACATGTCCCTGATTTTTTTGTTTTCTTCTTTCTTTATTTCTACTTCATTAATTTTCCTGTAATTGACTGTCGGGAGTAATAATGGAAGTTGTTATAAGTTTTGGTAGTTCGTAGATATTGTTTGGAGGTTAGTGTGCTTCTCATGGCACAGATATTCTGATACAGAAACACTGAACATGTAAGATAACCTATAAATTAAAAATTGCAGATTTACATAAATCGTAAAAAAAAGTAATTTGTCTCCCATGTTCTTCACGGTTCTCTGTTTTTAAGCTACTAGTGTCTTTAGGATACCTAATGAGAAAAAATTTGGAGTTGCTATGCAAAATACAGGCAGTTGTATTGCTTTTTTTTTCTTCTCTAATCAGTGTCCACAGGCTCTGAAAAGCAAAGTTTACAGCCTTCCTGTAAGAATTTGCAGTCTTAATTTTAGAGTCACAAGCATTTTGAGTATTCACAACAGGAATCAGTAAGAAACAAAAAAAGAGTAAGAATCGCTACAAATTAAGTCATTACTAGTCACTTAAGACCAGAATCACTAGTAGTTTTCAGAGCAGACTTTAGTCATTTTCCATACTGAATGCTCTGTTAATTATTATGCAAAATATACACATATTATCAATTTGATAAATTTGATTGAAGAGTTCTGTAGGATGGAACTTTTAGAAACAACTTTGTTGCTATTCGATTCATTACAAGTTGTCCTGAGAGTGGAAGAATGCCTCTTTTCCTTGCCACAATGATATTTCCAAGGAAGAGTTTTATCAATAACTTATTTTGCTTTGAAAGAGATTTCTACTTTTGCTGTGAGGATTTTAACATTGCTTCTGTGATTGTACCTACAGTTAATCTGATCTTGTTGTAGAATGTTGTATAAATAGACCTTTCTTATTAAGGACTTGTTTCTTAATTTTTAATAAGACTGTGTGCAAAGGCATCTTTTCTCATAGTTTATCATGCTGAGGTTATCTTTCTTTCAGTTCTTTCTGAAGTAAGTTGTTGGAAATCTCAGTATTTAAAGTAGGAATATTGATTGATTGAGGATATATCTATATTTTTAGAATGTTGTAGCATCATAGAGCAGCTTGGGTTCGAAGGGACCTTAAAGATACCATTATCTTGTTTAACCTCCCTGCCTTGTGTGAGAGCGCCTCCCAGTAGATGAGGCTGCCAAGGGCCTCATTGGGTCTAGTCTTGAGTGACTCCATGTGTCCTTGCATGCTTTTTCTATAAGGTTTCTTGATGTACTTTTCCACAACTGTGATTCAGTTTGTTGAGATTGGAAGAATTTCACATTCATAAGGGCTTACTAGTCATTGTTCCTAATTAAAAGATGATTCCTATGTATAGAGCAGTAAGTCCATGGTATATAAACACAGTGATTTTCATCAGCTCTGAATGTAGTGTTGCTGGTTTGTATGTGTTCAAGGAGTGAGGGGGGATTGCTTTAAAATGATTTTAACTGTCTCCTATAAACAGAATGTTTCTGTTTATACATGCAATAAATTACACATACTTCAATGGAGTTTTTATCTTCCTTCTCTCTGGCAGTATCTATGAGTCAGCTACGAAACTGTCAGTAACCTCTTAGATTAAAAGAAGGATGATTGTTGCTCAGTTGAGTTTGCAATGTTATTCTGTTCTTTTAAGATTTCCTGAGAATTTAAAATTAAATATTCCAAGATAGCACCTGTCAGACTTTGAAAGTGTAATACATGTAACCATTTTTTGGAAGATAAAATGGAAGTCATTTGAAATTGGCTTTAGTTTCAAGGGCATCCAGTCGGGCCTTCATTTCCCATCTGTGGATTATGCAACCTTTGAGTGAAGGACATTGTAGGCTCCATTGCACCAGCACTGCTATTGGTGCTGTCTGGATGCAATATCTGCCTGCTCATGTGCCTGCCCAGCATAATTTGTGTTTAAAAAAAAATAAAAATCACTCACCTTTCCTGTTGTCATCATGCATTGTGTTCTGTCAGTCTGGTTTGAAATACTTAGATGACCCATAGTTTCAATTATATGGTTTGTGCAAACCTTTTGTTACTCTTACAAATTACTTTAAGCAGACCGTGTTTAGCTGTTACATACATTCATTCCTTCCTAAAAATTGCCAGGGATTTGTGACTGAAGAAAGAATGTATCAGATAGCATTAATCATGTGTTTGGAATCTGAGTAGTAAGAAAACGAATGCCAGCAACTAGAGGTGTGCCCCAGGGGCCAGTACTGGGCCCAGTTCTGTTTAATATTTTCACTAGTGATCTGCTTTATAGGGCAGAGTGCATCCTCAGCAAGTTTGCATGTGACACAAAACTTTCCTGCAAAGGGCCACAGAGGTAATACAGTGGCTGCAGCACCTCTCCTATGAGGAGAATCTGAGACAGCTGAGACTGCTCAGTCTACAGGAGAGGAGGCTCAGGAATGATCACATCGGTGTCTATAAATACCTTACGGGATAGTGTGAAGAGGATGGACTTAGGCTCTTTTCGCTGGTGCCCAGTGCTGGAAGTATGGACAGTGGACGCAGTCTGGAACAGAGGAGGTTCTCTCTCAACGTCAGGAAGCACTGTTGTGCTGCACAGTTGGTAGAGCACTGGCACAGGTTGTCCAGAGAAGTTGTGGGGTTTCCTCCTTGGAGATCTCCAAAAGGCACCTAGACATGATCCTGGGTACCCTGCCCTGGGTGTTCCTGCGGGAGCTGAGGCTGGACCACATGGATCATACCAACCTCAACCATGCTGTCATTCTGTGATAATATTTTGTGGCTTTCCCATAGTACTACTGTACATACAGAAAAAGCAAAATAGAAGAAATGTTGTCTGTCTATTGCTTTTTCGGAGTTTTCACTGAGAGACAGCATATCAAGCCATTGTCTTCAAATCATTGTACTAAAATAAATTTGATCTCTGGAAAAAACGAGTAAATAATTGGTGGTTAAGATACTAATTCACTTTTCTGTTCTCCATGATAATATTTAAAGGGCTTTAAAGTTACGCTTTGCAACAGCAAACTCTTCTCTTTAACAGTCTCTGATTGTATTTCTTACAATATGAAATATAAATAGAACTGAATTCCAAAGAAAATTCCACATGAGACTTCTAGCTATATAATGTCTTTCTACTCTGCTAAGAAAGGTAGTTTATGAAATTGTATTGCAGTGCAATTACTTGCAAGAGAGAATTGATATTGTCAATTTAGTGCATTGAGAAGAGAGACAAGAGACTAGAGCAAGAGCTGGCTACACTTTTTCAAACAATATTGTGACGTGGAAAGCTTCGCTATGATTTTTAGTCTTTGCCTGGAACAATATATATATTGTTTTTGAAATATGTTTTCAAATACATTTTTAATACAAATATTCAATCTGAACATGATGTTGCAGTGTTTGTAGAAATGCCTCCACTACTTATGCTTGTTGTAAGTCAGGCTTTCAGAGAATTTTGGTTACAAACACAGATGGCCTTTCAGGAATCCTTTCTGCTTGCAGCTTCTCCTCCTGAGACAGGACAGCAACAAATTAGTTACTGCAAAACAATGAACTGTGGAGCTACAGTAATATTTGTTCGCTTTTGATTGCTGGCACCAAATAGGTGGTTCACATTGCCTGACAAGTAAAACATTAAACACTTTGTTACCCCTCCACTGGCTTCAGTGTACTTTGAGAAACACCACCTCAAATCAGTTAAAAAATCATTGGAACGTGAGGTAAAATGTCTTTACCATGAATGCAGTCTGGCAATCCAACAGCCTTCCCAGAAAGGAGGAATGATGCCACATGCCTGTCAGTGTTCAGTAGGCACTTGGATAATGCCCTGAATGACATGCTTAAACTTTTGGCTAGCCTTGGACTGATCAGGCCACTCAACTGTAAGATCTCTGAAAGCTTCTTCTAGCCATTCTGTTGTTCTACTCTACCTTACTCTAAAATCAACTGTTTTCTTGTACCCAATAGGAAGTAATCATTTTATTAGCTATTATTTTAAACTTCTACAACAGTCATTCTGTGATTGGAGAACTGTATTTGTCACAAAGTTTAAGTTGTTTTTGTCAGCAGTTTTCATGAATGTCTGTGTTTAATTTTGCACTGCTAAAGATTTTGTTTGTAACAAAATGCAGCTTTTATTCATCACGTAGTGTACAGTTTTCATCCTGGTAATTAATTCTTTCCTTCCTTCTCTTAGGCTAACTTCAAACTGATGGGCTGAGAATTACACTGAATAACTTCATTCTGTTTGGTCTCTTGACCCTAATGAGAAACAAATATGAATGTCCTATCTGTCATGTCTTATTGTAAATGTTTCTCATTTCTCCAGGAGGCGATTTCCTGTCCTTTTTAAGAAAAAAGAAGGATGAGCTGAAGACCAAACAGTTAGTGAAATTTTCATTAGATGCTGCTTCTGGTATGGCGTACCTTGAATCGAAAAATTGTATACACAGGTAAGAAAAATACTTTTTTTCTCATATTGTAATTTTCGGAATGCTAGCAGGTTCAATATTTATGGTGCTTAATATCTACACAGAGGATCTCTAGGACTTTTTTAGAAGCTACACTTTTTCTGAAAGCAGGTCATTGAGTCTTTTGTTCATTTGGGTCAAAATAAATACTACAGTATTTGGTTTAAATAGGTCATTTGTTTTAGTATAGATTTATTTATGATGATTTTTTCATGGGAAGAATTTGCTTTATGGAGAGCATAACTCGCCATGATTCAGTGTCAGTGGGACATTTGTAGATAAACTCTGCATCACCGAATGTACATCACGAGCCCACTTCATATTTAGTACAGTTCTAATGAATGCTATTCTTGGAGATCTGAATTGTATTTCTCTCTTTCTTATTTTATCAAAAATGAATTGTTCTAAAAGTTGCAGATAAAAAGGTAGATTTATCTTTGAAAACATTCCTCTGACCACAGTAAGCTCAAAACCTTTTTACAAAGTATTAATTATTTTTGTAGTATTATTGTGTCATTTGTATATTTTTTTTTTTATTCTTTTTTGGGTTTAGCTTAAGAAAGCTTAAACAGAATTGCAGTCTTCTTAATTGCTATTTTTCCCTTTCATCTATCTTCTATTTTTGTTGCAGCTTTTTTTTGGGAGGGGTAAGGAAGGGGAGTGCGTGTTAACAGAGACAGTAATTGGAGATTCAAAAAATACATTTCAGAGGGAGTATTCATAGATATACCAATGCACCTAGTACAAGTTAAACATACAAGGCATGAAAAGGTGCCTTCTTATTTACCTTTCAAAATCTTCACAGAGGATATTTATTATTGCCTCAAAATATCACAGAAGATTATTGTTGTGAACTACTAATTCCTTTAAAGGCAGAAGCAAAATTTTTAGTAAACCTGTCCTGAAGAAAACTACAGTTTAAAAATGCAACCAAGCAGGCAAATGAGCTCTTCTAGAACACTGTTAGTTTTATGAAATGCATAAGTTAATAAATGCAAATATGCATTTCCAGTATTATTTTATCATTCTTATTTTCTGGCAGGTTCAAAATTTATTCAGTTTTATGTCTCTGGGCATATCATATGCTTATTATATTATGTTCTGAATTTGATACCTAAATATAATGAAAAGCTCTGAATCAGACAGCAAACAACCAAGGTTAGTAATGTTAGTAGTAGTAGTTCTGGGGTTTTTTTCTTCTTTTTTTTAAATTTTTTTCATGTCAGTTTTCCTTTCTGAGGGTTTAGAATTTTTGTCCAACCAGCCTTAATGACTGGTTGGATACACACAGTTCTCCCTGAAAGCAGTGCCTCCTATTTATTTCCATGGAAGGTACAACAAAGTGCACAGTAACACTATTTGATAGAGCAAATTGTCAGCTACAAAACATTGTAGTAACAACAGAGTTACTACACATTTTCACCAGCAATAAACAACCATCTGCATAGCACTCTTGTAAAAATCTGCACTGGCAGATGTGACTCTCTGTCCCTGTTGCTGTTCCTGAAATTCAGCACTGTGCTCTCATCCACTGTTTGATCTCCATAAACATTTAGCAATCATCAGTAAATGTCCATTGGTGCCATATTTTCCACATGGAGGAATCACTGACACACATGTACTTCATCCACACTTCCATGACAGACGCCGTTTTGTTGGAGTGCCCCTCTGCTGCCATCTGTCAGACACAACAAAATGTAACAGGGTATTGGTGGGAAAGTTCAACCTCTACCACCGCCATTTGCCTCTGGTGTCACGTGGCAACATAATAAAATAGGAGGCATTACTTTTGGAGCAGCCTTTGTACATTTATCAAGAAATCCCATCTGCTGCAGAAGCACAGAACGTCTGTTACTTGCTGGATATTGTGAGCCTATTGCATGCCAGTGAACACAACACTCTTATGCTATGCCGCAGGTATGTTAAATTAGGGAGTGAGAGGCTAGCATGTTAAAAATCCCACTCTGTAGTGCTTTGTCAGCAAGTTGTTAGGTGTATAAGGCTCAGAACTCCTTTGGAGCTTAAGTCCCACCTTACCTGACCACTGAAGATGCAATTATGTGACAGTGTGATTTCTTAAAGGAATATGGGAGTCTTTGTTCCCTCCTTGTTGAGTCAAGGTATTCATGGGTATATTTCATGCTGAGATTAGAATGGAACAGCTTAATGTATAGCAGGAAGAAGATTTAGTATAAAAAGAACATGAATTGTTTTGAAATAACAGTAAATTTGTTCTCTTTTTATCAAAAACTCCATCAAATAAAAGTGCTTCCTAGATTGAAAGGAAAAAAGAAAATTAGCTACAGACAAAATTGAATGCACAGTGGAATTTTTTTTATTGTGATTAAAAGTCAGAAGGATGTAATTACTGTTACTGAAGAAATAATATATCATTAGATATATTTGCAGCAAAATGAATTTTTTTTCATTTCCATGTTATTGATTTTCCCCAGCATTCTATTTATTGTCTTAAATATTTGTTCAGAGCCTTGCTTTTGTTTTCTTTGCAACATAAGTGAGCATTATTTAGTGCCATGTGCGATTGACTAGCTGTTAAAGACTTGCAGCTTATTAAATGATTTTTAGTGCCACTTTTTAGTTGTAGCTGCACTAGCTATACCTAGCCAGTATATTTTCAATTTAAATCTGTTCTGGCTTTCTGATATTGCTATCCAAGTCACACCTTGGCTTAGTCTTCCAATAATTGGGCCAGTGCAACAACTAATCTGCCCTTTGATTTTTATTTCTGTGCATGGTGTGGTGTTTCAATGAGCGCAGGTATAAAGTTTGAATTTGTCAGACTTAGAATTCTTAATGCCTGTGAGGGATTATTTGATCTGCATTTCCATCTCCTCTAAAGTCTAGAAATCACTTGTTCTTTATTCTCTCTTTGTTCTGTTTAAAAAGCAGAAATGAGTGGGCTTAAATAAATAAAATAATGATAAAAAACCTGCTGCACGAAAAAATGCTTTTAAAAGAAATAACATTTACAGAGCTGCGCAGTTATTTCATCTGCATATGATTAAAATGAGTTTAAAGTATTGTTCCCTGCTTTTCATTTTTATCCCTTGCTATTGTTTAGATCCATTTTTTCCTGTTAATTAGAAACAGAAGATTAGGATGGAGATGTGATAACTTCAGTTTTTTCGATAAGCATTAATGAGTGATCTTCTTCAGCAGAATTTTATTTGCATGTGTTGAATGTCCGTAATTCCTTTTTAGTTTCCAAACCTACCCAGAGCAACTGTGTTGCCCAGAGAATTTGAACATTCCCTCTTCCCCCACTCCCCCCCTCCTCACCAGTATCATGTTTTAAAGAAAATAACTGAAATTATGGTAGTACTCAACTGGAAAAAAAAAATTAATACTGAGAAAAGCAGTCGTCTTTTGTGTTTCCTCTGTTTCTATCATTTGGTAGTCAGTACAGCCTTTCAAAATTAGAAAGCCAGTTTTGTCTAGAAAATATTATTTCTGTGTGCAAAATTGTGTTGTAGCTTTATCTATGAATCATACATGCATGATTCTAATTCAAACTAGCAGAAATATATTTTTTTCAGTTATTTTGTTCAATTGTGGTTTCACTGCTTTACTTGAGAATTAAATTGCTTTTCTCCTTCCTGAAGAGCTTTCACAGAAAAGGAGTAGTTTGATTTTAAAAATAACAGTTTAAACAAATTTCAACATGCAGTATTAGGAGAGAATCAAATTAAAAGTTAGAATCCTAGAAGTGGTCAGTTAGTAAATATTTTCACTAAATTTCAGCAGTCTTCATTTATTCATTTTACCAAATGTAGCATAAATTTGGACTCAAATGAGTTATTTTCAATGTGTGAGAAGATGTGAAAAAACAAAATTCAAGGTGTATCCCTTCAGTCAAGCTTTCCTTTCAGTCTGGGCAGCTACTATTCTGGAAATCTGCCATACTTTGAATTGAAGATGTATTCAATGGTAAGACAGTCATTCTGTGTATTCTAGTTTCTCCATTTTTATTTCTACTACACCTTTTTTTTTTCCTTAATGCAAATACAATTTTATTTAATGTTGTTTTCTAGGTACTACAAACTCCTCATTAAGGTAAAAGTGGTTGGCTCAGCTTCATACTATGAAACTCAGGCTCTGTGCATGTTAATTTGGGATTTCTATAGTTCTGATTAAATATGGGCTGTTAAATAAATTATAAATGACTGGGGAAATACCTCTTTTATCTAGTTTATATGCTATTCTTTCTTCTCAGATTTTTTTCTTTCCCTTAACTGTTAATGTAAAGAATCTTAGAAAGAGGTATCAACTCTTTCCCAACCAGGAATTGGAACTATGTTGAGTGATTTAATTAGTCTTTCCTGTGAATCTTTTGTTTCTTCCTGTTGCAGTAGCTCAGCTGCCACAAAAAAGATGAAAAGTGATCTTTTCAGCTTGCTGTTCTGTTTAGTATATCAGTAGTAATTTAATTATCTTAGGGATCAAGAGAGTAGTAGTCTAAATTCCAGAGCTGAGCAGGTCTCCTTTCTAAGAGCATGGAATAATCATAGAATAATAGAATGGTTTGGATTGCATGGGCCCTTTTTTGGACCATTGGGTGCTCCAGCACTTCTATGTCCTGTACTGAGGTGCCCAAAACTGAACACAGTACTCAAGGTGGGGCCAATATTGAGTACATCAGCAGGATTGTTTCCCTAGTCCTGCTCACCACACCACTCCTGATACAAGTCAGGATGCCATTGGCCTTCTCGACCACCTGGGTTCACTGCTGGCTCATATTCAGCTGACTGTCCAGCAGTACACCAAGGTCCCTTTCTGTCAAGCAGCTTTCCAGCCACTCCTCCCCAAGTCTGTAGGGTTGCCTAGGGTTGTTGTGACCAAAATGCAGGACCTGACATTCGGCCCTATTGAAACTCATTCAGTTGACCTTCACCCATTGATCCGGTCTATCCAGGTCCCTCTGTAGTGCCTTTCCTCTGACAGATCAACACTCCCTCCCAACT